TGCCAAATTTTGTTAACACTTGCTCACTAATATAAAAGTTATAGCATGAAAACTATAACAAGCACAAAATGGTTATGTGCTGAAAGAGTTAAAGGATGAGAATTGTAACTGTGAGCAGATCACATGACACAAAACTGCACTTTTAATTGCTCTTTTAGATGTATCTTTTTAAAATAAAGGAATAATATTCAGATAATATAAAACTTTAAATTATAATGTACTTGATAATAATTCCATTAAAATAAATTTATAATAAAGTGGTTTAATTAAATTCTGAATGTAACTCAGTAACATGCACAGGAGGGGTTTAAAGATGGCAACTTTGCTGCAGAGTTAAAGCGAGTTCATGTTTTACTTACTTTAGGACTTTGGGACAAATAGAATATATTATAAGTATGCACTTGAAGAAAAAAGGAAATTAATGATTTTACACTCTTCAGCAAAACCTGTAGGAAACCTTACTTTTCAGAAGTGACATGTAGTTTTAAGCAGTGTGATTAAACTACTTTCTTATCATGGTATATGAATAAATTTGGCATAAAAAAGGTAGGCTAATTATCCAAATTTCAATAATATATAAGATTTAAGTTTTTAGTTTTATAAAGCAATATTTAAAAAAAATCTTGAATTTCCCTTAGTATGAGAATTGTGACATTTTCTCTCTAGGCATCCCCTCCTCTCTAATTTATTTACCACCCCTCCAAGAAGTACGAAATTTAAGGTAATGACTCATTATTATGTTATCATCACTCAGATGAAACATAATTTTCATAACCTTCAATATTATTTGGTTACAGAGCCATCAAATAGAAAATCAGACACCTTTTGCCACACCCAACTGTTACATCGTTTATAAATTGTTAATATTTCTCTCTGACTTTTAAAACTATATTATTTGTAACCAATAGAAATCCAAGGCTTTAATCTATCAAATGACGTATCATGTTGTTTTCTGTACAGAGTATTGTCAATTTCAGTTCAGGCTTGATTTCCACGGGAAATACATCAATGAGCTTAGATGAAGCTGTAATGGCTCTTGTCGTGTAGTTAGATAGCCAGAAAAATTTTGATACTTATAGGATGTTATCTGATTTTCTTGCACATCCGTTTAATTAAATAAAAATTACTTAGTGCAGAAGTATCATTAGTATTAAAAGTAGGGTTAAGTGTCATTGACAGTCAAAAAGAAGACCCAGGTAATTATTTGTTTTTCATGTGTATTCTTTATATATCATTATAAAAGTAGGTAATATGTAAAAATTGGAAACTATTTAGGTTAGATACGGTAAAATAAATAATAATAATAAATTTTTCACAAGGTACGCTCGCAAGTAGTCCATGCAATATGTAATTTGATAACGTAATGCGAGTTACACATTCAACATGTGATTTAATATTTGTATGGTATGAATATTAGATAGACATAGTTCAAAGTTATTTAAGACTAGAATAGGTTAAATAAGTAACAATAATAATATAATTAAAATTGTTCACGAAGCACGCACGTTCCTTGAGTGATTTACAACTTATAATGGCACGGACAGCAGTTAGACATGGTTCAAACAGCAATGAAACAATAAAATTCAAGTATAAATAGATATATGCTGTTACAAGTTTAAAGCTATTTTGGATAAACAAATGTAGTTTCATGTTACAATTTTAGAAAGAAAAAAGGGTAAAAGGGTCAAATTGACCAATTCTGTATAGAGTGAGGGGTAGATAAAAATAACAGATAAAATATAAAGTTTTACTGAAAGAAACATTTGAAATTTATTGAGGACGTTTTAAGAGATCACACAAATAAAATTTGAGTTTTTTAAGATGAGGAAAAGTATTTTTAATCTTAGCATGAAAATCATTTTGCATCTTGGACTAGTAAAAAAATACTTCATTAAAGAATTGTTTTAATTTACAAAGGACTTATACTGTTTACTGAAAGTCTGCTAAACTTTGTGAAGATACACATACTGTATTTAAAGTTATAGTATGGAAACTATAATGAATACAAAATGGTTATGAAGTTGGTTGATTCGACTGACCTTGTAGCGAGAGAGAGTTAAGTGACTTAGAAGCAATTTGAAATGTCAGTAAAGATATTTTACAAAACTAATATTTGTTGTTAAAACTATTTACATTACCTAAACAAAATATGGATAAATCTAAGCAACTGATATTGAGCAATAATTTGTTTTTTTCCACTGTATGTTGAATTTCTATGTAACAGTACAGTATATTCACAACTATATACAGACCACTTTTCTAAATAAAAAGTGAGATTCATGTTCAGGGGTAGTACAGTTAAAAATAGAATCATTCTAGGACACTTTTCATTTAATTCATGAATAAGCATAGAACACTATTCAAAAGCACTTACTGATTATTCTTCAAGTGTTTGTGATATTGAGTAATACAGGGTGGTTAAAAATTGTGTTTCCTATTTTAGAATTTACTAAGTAAATAACTAAGGTAATACAGCCATGCAGTTTTCAACATCTTGTAGCCCGATTCAAACAGTTTTATTGCTTTTTTTTCACTCCAGAAAAGGCTCAATGTGTCATTTGGTTTGCAGAAAGCAAGTCAGTGAGTGAGGTGCAGCATTATTATAGATGCCAGTATAGGAAAGAAATGTTAGGGTATGTTAAGGATATCATGCTTTGCACACCTATAGCAAACATCAGGGAGATAAAGATCAGGATAACAAATGCCATCACCACTGTAACTGTGGACATGTTTCAGCAGATACGGACTGAAATTGAATATCGGATAAACATGAGGAGTCCCACTAACTGTGCACATGTAGAAGTCTACTGACATATCAATAAAAACTGAGTTGGGCTACACTACAATATGTTGAAAAACACTTTGTTGTATTTCCTTAGTTAATTATTAAATTTTGGGATAGGAAAGATAATTTTGGACCACCCTGTATCATCAGTGACAATATTAATGACTGTGACAAAGAAATTGATTTCATAGTTATTGTTTTATTTATACTAGTGCTTGTCATTGATTTGAAAATAACCTTACTCTTGAATTCATCTTTGAAATAAAAAGATAGTTAAAACACTCAAATAAGTAGGACAACAAAACATATTATTACCATGTTCTCTAAAGGCTTGTTCTCTCTTGTTAATAAACAAGATTGTAGAATATTGACTTGTCATTCTATCAAATATTTTTCTGAGCATAATATGGCACTCGTAGATCCTAGATAAAAAGTCAAATGGTTTGAACAAAATCAAGCAATTTTGAACCTTGTTACTTCATTACAAGTATAGTTTTACATATTTTAGCCATTTAGTATTTTTGAACCTTGGTTGTCAGATTGCGATGTAATTTCCTATGTCTCAGCTTTGAGAGTCATCAGTTAGTGGTCTAAACATACACACACATAATGAAAATTGTTTTTTTTCTGTTCTTTTCAACTGTATAAAGCAATATGGCTTTTAGTTCAGTGAAGATTCACATAGATATCAGAACAAAGTGATAAAAGCTTAGCTAGAAAAAAAATGTGTTTGTGAAGAATTTCCACTACAATTACAATTCTGATTTTTTTAAAGCTTTCTCTATTATTTTATACTTCATTTGAATTATCATGTTGCATCATGATAGGAAAATAAATGTTTCTCATAGAACAAGATGAGTTAGGATTAGTTAAATCATTTTGCCCTCGACTGTGTGAGATTTTGTTTCACGAACAAGGCTGATGTTTTAGGCCATGTTTACATTAGGCCTTGTCAGCCTAAGTAACTACTTGAATGGGCAATGAAAATCTCTGAAAGGAATGTAAAAAATTTATATACATATAAAATTAACATAAAATGTGTTTAAAACTCAATATACATATTAAATGAAACTTTTTAATTTATTATAAGCCAGTGATTGTAAACACGGTAAAACTGTGTGCAATATTTTTTGAAGTAAAACACAAGGTAAAATTTACAGTTTTCTAACATTAAAAAATGTATATAAAAGTTAATTAAGAATGTCAGAAGACAAAAATCAGTAATTAAAAAGTCTTCAGCAAGGTAAGCATTTTTACTTGTTTCTTTAAAAAAAGTATGAAATATCTTGGAATTTTGAAAGCTGTGAATTTGTACAAATATTACATATGAAAATATGATTTTGTGTGCAAAAACTACACAACCTGAAGAAAGTTTATCTGCAGTTTCCAGTTATTTCATTCAGTATATATATATATATATATAATTTGTGTGTTTGTTTTTTACAATGCAATAAAACAAACTATACTAGGCACTTTAGAGTTAAGATAGATTGTTAATGGGCGTACCACTTGCAAGAAGTTAGAAATATCAGCTGTCTACAAAATTCAAGACTTTTGTGGAAATCTGGTAATGTCTTGTATTAATACTAAATGAATAATCCAAGAAGTATTCATTCTAATACACAAATTCAAAACCCAATCAAGCAAAGCCAAAATTTTATCATCCTATAAACCACCTTTTATGTTTCAACTCTTCAATATCCAAAGAATTAGTTTTTTTAAAGGAGATTAGAAGAATGCATTTGACCATTCATCAATATAGTGAACATGGCAAATTAGCCGTGTGCTTGCATTTAATAATTTAATGTCTGTCATTAATACACACACTTATATTTACCATCCTACTTGGGTAGGAGGCTGCTGTATCGACACGTGCTAATATTTTTGCAAGTTGTTGTGTTGTAGTTCCTGATGCAATTTGTTGTGATAGTTCAGATCAGTATGCATTAACATTATATTTTACTGTATCAGTAATTCCACCAAAGTTTATTCCAAATACAATGATGACACACTGAAAAATTTTAACCTTGCTTTAAGTGATGTTAATTGGAACTTTATTATACATGAAGAGCCAAATATTGATTCAGCTTTTTCCTTTTTTGTAGAGTTTTAATTGTAAACTTTATAATTCATGTTTTCCATTTGTTGAAACTATTAAGTTGAATAATGCCAGATATTAACTCTGGATGACCTTAATTTTATTATGTATGATTAGACATAAGCAAAGACTCTATCACTGCTTTACAGCTACAGGTAATCTATGGACATGCAATAAATATTTATAACTTAAGGTGCTCGTTCAGCATCAAGTTGCTGATTGTTAGGTTGAGTACTTTAACACATGTTTTCTAGATAATGACTCTCGTTACATATGGCGTACCATTAACAAACAACTAGGTAGGACTAAAGAAAATAATGCAAAGATAAACAGTAATTAAATCACAACATAGGTTCTTGTGTTACTGACCCTGCTGGTACTGCCAATATTTTTAATTATTATTTTACTAGGCAGGGAATAGTGAAAGTGTATTTTAACTATGTAGTATTGTAATTATATTAGTAATTGGAACCAGCTGTAAATTTGTTCTTTGTTATTAGTGAAGATGAGGAGGTAGATGACTCTGTAGTTGTGGTTGAAGAAGGTGAAGATGATGATGAAGGAGAAGAGGGAGGTAAGCTTCTGTACAACTTGAATAGTAAAAGTCAGTTTTCTAAAGTTAATTTTAATTGTTGAATATTTAAATTGTGTATATGTGTATTTGGCATTTTCATAGAAAAATGCATTACTATTTGCAGGTGTCTTTATTGGAGAGAGTTTATCCCCCATGTAATATACTTTTACACAGAAATTAAAATGCAAGGTTTTTAGTACATTTCACAGAGAATCACAAATGAATTTGAAATAACATCAATTATAGATTTCAAATTGCAAGTTTTATAAATACATTTTATTGCTTGCATACTAATGCAGTCTGGGGTGGGTGCTTTAGTACATTCTAATCACATCACAAGCATAGTTTTTTATGCATTTATGTGTTTTTTAAACATAATTTAAATTTATTTCAAATTACATTCCATATCGTAAATTCAGCTAAAAGTTAATTGTAAATTCCTTAAGTGTTAGGTACTTTTGCGTGGAAGTAAAATAAAAATTCTAAAATTAGCTGTGTAATGTAATGTTTAGAAGAACATCAGTTTTGCCTAATAAGCCCTATTAAAATTAAGGGTTTTTTTTTCTTTGCAAGCATTTTAAATTGACCTTGAATGTGAGACCTAGAGCAACTTATCAGACAGGGAAGTAAATCCTTAGACACTTTTTTTATTGCTCTTATAGATAAATGCATGCACAGATTATTTTGCAGAACATCTTGCAATTGTAAAAGAAAAAAAAACATATTTAGGTAATGTTATCCAAACCTTACAAAATCATACTTTAGCTGTCATTCGAACAACTTAGTAAATTCTGAATTAAAATTGCTTAAACCAAAAAGCTAAGGTAAATCAATGTTGAGCTGAAATAGCTCTCTAACTAGGAAAAAGCCTTAAGTGTTCTAGATTTTCCTGTATCATATCTTTTACTGCAAGGTACAATTGCAAACATAATTGTACAAAACATTATTTAGATTTAATTAAATGACTAAGAAATTTAATAATATTTCAAGAATATTATTACAAGTATTTTCACAGTTACATTTTAAAATAACAGGCCTTTGTTGTTTGGTACCTGCCCCCTTCCGCCCAATGGCACAGCGGTATGTTTGCAGATTTACAACGCTAGAATCAGGGTTTCAATACCCGTGGTGGGCAGAACATAGATAGCCTATTCTATAGCTTTGTGCTTAATTACAAACAAACAAACAATCCTTGGTACCTTTTTTATTACTACAGTAATGAGTACAGTCTTCTGTATTTTAAATTCGGTCAAGAGAAAGAAGCTTCATTCAGTATATTATTATAATAGCTAGTAAGTTTGTTTTTACTATCTTTCCCTTGGCTTCATTGTTATCTTGAACATTAAGCAGCCATTTATGCAAGCCATTTTGTATTGTTTCACATAAAAATATTATCTACTCTTAAAAATGTTGTGTAGGCAGGCTTGTTAGACTCTTGGTAACATACCTGGTAGTAATTGCAGTACAAAGCTCTTTATTTTTTTGGTAGCTTGGTAGACAAAGATTGGAAACAATAACTAGCACCTTTCAAAATGGAGGAACAGCTAACTGCCAACTGAGTAATCTCTTTCCTTCTCAAAATCAAGAATGTGTAACTGTAGTCCAGGATAATCATTGACAAAATGACATTCAGCTGTGCCTGCACCAAAGAGCTGCTGAAAAATAGTGGGTTCTGCAGATGCAAATATATCTCCTTTAGCCAATAGTAGTAATCTAAATACATATAAAGCTGAGTTTTCTGTCTGTAATTACTGTGTCACAAGTTATTATGAGGAACTCGGGTGGACACCTAAATAATAATAACTTCTGATCAGAGTAAGCAATGTACTGAGAGCTACACTAGAATCCATCTAGTCATCGGTATAGCTAATTAAATATACTTCTGAAACAATTCATTTACTACCTCTCTGCACATGGTAGCTATTTCTTGTGCATTTCCCTTTGAGATTTTATGCATGCCACCAGCCTTGAGCTATCTCCCACCTAAGTGCATGATGTAATCATTGTATGAAAATAGTCCTTCACCCAAGTAGATTCCCATAAGTACTTGCTCTCAAAATTAACTTCATTCTTTTCCTATTTGGTCTGTGGCCATGGCAGCTCATTGACTGTGGAGAATATTACTGCCATGGTTCAACATGTTGTAGGCTTGCTAATGCCTTCCCTGCCTCAACTCTGCATCAGGTTTGCATAGGCTTCACTTTACTTGTAGAGAACAGTTTTACTCCTTCAAATCTCTTTGTGGATTTGATTTCTCAAGTTTGTTCTTCACTTTCTCTTTCACATATGTCTTTTGATTCTTCCTGTTCCTTAATAAATGACTCTCATACTGAGGATTATTTGATTTTTCAGACATTGTGTGTCCATGCTCACACATCTCTGGTTCAACTTCATTTACACACTCAAATGCCTTGCCCTCCTCAACTCTGTGGTTTTTTTTACTATGGCTTATGGCTGTTCCCCTTTTCCATTCTTGGATCTCCAATCCCTGGAGTCTTTTTTACCTTCTTAGGGGGCTGACCCCCTGTCTCCAATAACTCTAGTGCTAAATTTTCTCATATTTGACATTTTTCTTACCCATCTTTTTTGTTACTTATCCTCTCTGAAAAGTACCAAGTAAAGTTATCAGGATATTCAGAGAGGAAATAAAGAGATGCTCTTCTCTCTGCCATTTGTCTTCCCAATTTTTACCTCTGTGACTTCTGCCTGTCTCCTTTCCTTTGCCCTGAAGTCTTCAGGGGTGTTCTTAATTAACACCTTGAAGACTTGGACTGAGGCTGTCTGAAACCAGTCCTCCCTTTCTTCCTTCATTTTTCATCTTTCCCAATGTTAATCCATGCCCATTCCTTGGCCATGTGAATCCTCCACCTCTCTCTCTCACAGATTTTTTGGCCAAGAGAGCCATTGAGAGGGTTCTTTGTCCCTCTTCAGGAACTTATTCTCATCTTTTTGTTGTCCCTAAAAAGACCTAGGATTGATGTCCCAAAATTGACCTTTCTTCTCTCAGCCACTTGAGAAAGCAATTGTAGCTACTTACTCAATACAGAAATATAATTAGTTAGTGCCTGAACTGTGTGTAACAGTAATGATTGTGTTACTAACAGGCCAAGGGCTGAACAGCACCTAATAATTATGCATAGAATGTTTACTTTTGTTTTGCAATGCTTGCTATTTTTTATACAAAGCTTTGCATGCTTCTTTGCATTCTTCTGGTATTATGAAAGAACAACAACATTAGGGTAGTGTCTTTAATGCAAATACAGCAAAGCATTTCCTTGTGCTTTAATCCTTGTGAGTGTAAACTTGTACGATTGAAAACTCCTGTTTTTTTACATTGATGATGAAACTTATTATGTTTTTATATGCTTTTACATTGCAGAACAGTGTTTACTTCTGAGAGTCGCTGCTTAGTATTTTTTTTATAGAAAGCTTTATATACCTGTTAGTTTCTGGTAATTTTGGTGAGATTTTAAAAACATTATCTTATAATGATACATCCATATAATAATTATTAACCCCTTAAGAGGGCAGGATGTATGCATGTATATGTAGGTTATAATGAAACATTCCCTGGTTGCATATCACATACATAAACATCATGTTAATATTTTGGCTCCAATTCCATGGCTGTGCCACTTATATTTGTCTAGGTGTTTCCTTGGTCTCTTAGTTCCATTGTTCATTAAGAGATGGTACACAACTCATCTTTTGTCCTGAAAAACATCTTGAACTCTTAATTCCTTTGACAAGCATCAACAAACGTGGCTACTTTCATGAAATGTTGGCAAGTACATGACATGAATATAAGTAGAATTACTGATATTTTTGAAGACTCGTTTAATGAAATTAGTGAAAGAGAGAAGATTGAGACTTGAAGTTCTTCCGAAGACTTGAGGAAAGACTAAAGATATATTACCTATAGGTTTTTAGGTATGTGCATGATATTATAGTATTCACTACTTTTTGTGTATAAAAATTAGTGCTGGAAAGTTGAGAAGACTTGATTTCTTCATGACCCTGGCAGAATCACTGGTCTGAGAAGGGGGCATGTACTTAGTGCCAAAGACCAAGTGCCTATCCAGATCAGTAAATCCAAATAGGCTACTAGAAAGATATTTTCCCAATATTATACCTGAAATGAAAAGAATAACTCAACAGAAATATCCACTGTAGTACTGATGTCCAAATTACTGCATTTGTCTCACTCCAGCACCCTGATTCAGGGCATGCCATGCAAGGGCAAGTTGTTAGGTTGACTCAAAAGTCATATTTTACAATCAGTTCAGATGCATAACTTCTACACAAAGACCATTATTTTAACTAAGAAGGAAAAAATACTACTACAAGATGGATTTCTGCCCCAAAACTTGCCCATTTAAGAGATTAAGCAAAATTAATAGATTTCAGTGAATACTTGTGTTTTTTTTGTAAATCAGGCAGTAAGATTGTGGTGTTTTTTGTGTTTTGCAAAATAGATAATTCCATTGTGGGAAGTTCTTGAAAAATTATAGCATTCTATTTGTGGTCAAGTTTTATATATGTACAGGTACATGCTCAGTTGGCCAACTGGATGATTTTTAAGCAAGATATAATGCTGGTTTTAGAGCATTTTACTGTATGTCATGTGGAACTTGTACTGTCCATCATTATAATCTAATATGTAAGATTATGATAAGATGTAGTATAACTTTTCCGATGACTTTTACCATTCAGCATGTTTGGTTGTTTTTGCATTGTCTTTAATCCTACTGAATAAGATGAAACATTTACATATATATATATATATATGTGTGTGTGTGTGTGCTGTCATCCTTTCTTTAGCTATCAAATGCCCAAATGCTTCAATTTGACAGTTTATTTTACTGCATTGCAATAAATAACTACAGGATGAAATTTCAGATGAATTATCATAAACCTAATTCTGATATGTAATGACTTAAATAAAAGTTGATAAAAATTACAGTTTACCAACTTAATCTAGTTCAAATTGAAACAGTTGTTCAAGCAACTGATGTTATAAATAGTGTCTCAACCACTGCTATATGTGTTGTATCCCAGGTGATTGGATGAGCCCTAGTATTGGGTGCACTGTCTGATCAGCACTAAATATAGCAGATATAATGTGGTTAACATATTATTACATTCATTTTTACTTTCATTTATAAGTTGTTATAATTTCCACAGATTATATAGCTTTTACAAATACAATATCTTATTTTTGTATGAATCCTTAACTGTGAAAATTTGAAAAGATTTCATTGTGACCTATTTTTAAGAAACAAGTAAAAATGTAGATTTTAGTTACTGATTTTTATGTTTTGCTGTTTTGTAAACATTTTCTGTAAAGCTCTTATTTTATAATACTGCAAAACGTATCTTGGTTTCAAATTGAAAAATACCTTTATACAGTTTCATTGTTAGTTATGATCACTGGCATACAATAAAAATAATTAATTTTCCATACCAAAATTATAACCAGGCCACTTTTTTTTGTAAATTATTAATCAGAAGGTTTCATTTAATATGTATAAGATGGTAAGTTTATACCTGTTTTATATTCATTTATATATGTTTTTCAGAACTCTTTTCGGTAATTTTATTTGTCCATTCAAACAGTTACTTAGGCTAAGATAAGGACTAATGTAAACACAGCCTAACATATGGTCTTGTTGGCAAGACGAAACTTGATGTGGTCAGGTGGAAAATTAGTTAACTAAACCTATCTCATCATGTTCCATGAAAAACATTTATTTCCTTATCATGCTGGAACATCATAATTCAAATGAAGTACTAAACAATAAAGCTTTAAATAAAATGAAGATTGTAATTTAACAAACATGTTCTTGTGATCTCTTTTTGAATCTCTGCTGAATTATGTTTTATATTGACTTAAATAAAAGAAACAAAAAACAGAAAAAGAAGTTTTCCTTTTGTGGTTATATCACAACCTTATGACTTGTCACAGCTAACATCTAGGCAATTACATTGCACTGTGATAACCAAGGTTAAGAAAGTGTGGTTGGCTAAAATTGACATAACTAAACCTCTATTATATGAAGTCAAATTATCATTAGTTTATTCAAAACTATTTTGACATTCCTTCTAAAAGTGCTATAATATGTTCAGTAAAAATTCAAGAAATTCAGAAACATTAATGTTTGTTTTTGGAGCATTCTGAAATCAACCCAAAATCACAATTTGCAATTTTTATGCATAAAATCTAACAAATTTTTATTGAATAAAGTTCAGCTCTGAAATTGTTATTTTTGTTTGTTTAATCTGTGGAAGAATGACCAAAATTTCATTTGTTTAATTTGAAGATGCAATTTTGCCTTGTGACATAATACAGCTAATTTGTCTCTAGTTTATGGGCTGTACTTAAAATATTCTTAAGGAATGCTTTTAACATAATTCATACATTCTCTTCATATAAGGTTGGATTAGTTACTTGATCAGATGGTAATTGTAGCACAAGTAGTTAGGTTTCTGGCTAGTTTTACTTGGAATAGTTGTTACTTGATGCAGAATGGTTGCTTAGGTTATGCTGTAAAATATGTATTGCTGTATAAAAATGTAACCCCATCAGCACTTCTAAGTATTTTATGATAAAAAAATTTTTACATCATTTTAGGTTACTGTTCAATCTATTCTTTTAATTTTTTGGAATAGAACCTTTTATTTATATATTTCTACAAAATTTGTCAAAATGGACAATTGACTTTTGAGCAGTTTGAATTAATATAGGATCTTATCTTCTTGTCCATTCTACATACAGCAGTGAATATTGTTAACTGTTTTAATTGGTTGAGTTGTATAAATGGCTTGGATTATTTTAAGTTTTGTTTCTAATATACTTAACATTTATCAGTTTAAAAATCTAAACCATAAAATTCTCATTTTGTGGGCTTCTCTATTTGCCTGTAAACTTAAAAAATGTTTGTGCAGTCTGTTACCTGTTATTGTTTTTAAAAATAAATTAATATGTATAAAAAAAAAGATTCTTGTGTAATAGTTTAATCTTGCTAATATTTTTAGACAATTCATTAAAGTTAGCAAAAGTACATTAAGGAGTAAACCTTGGTAAAACAACTTTTTTATCAGTTTACAGTTTTCTTAAGCATGTATATGAGGATTTTAACATAATATTGATATTGTAAAAATACTGCACAATACATGTGTATTTGATTATAAAAAAAACGTGTTTATATGTATTTCAAAGCATGAAAACCTAGGTAGTTAACATCAGAGCTAATAATTAGTGGAAGTTGATAATTAGTTAATTGCCAGACTCATTAATTTATTACATTAAACTAATCAATTGTTATCACATGAATAATCAGAAACACTAATTTCAATAAGTTGATCTTTTTTCATGAGTTGTGAAACTGATTAAGTTGAACAACCTTGAATTAATGAAAAATGATGAGAAATTATAATGGTAATATTTTAATTATTTGGATGGTTGGAATAATCAGAAACACAATTTAATTATTGGATTAGTTTCATGATATTAGTCAATTATTTTATGTGTCACTAATCAACATAATAGATGCTCATAGATTATCAAGTTAATCACCTTTTTATAGTCATCATATTTCTTGATATTACTTATGAAAACATTTATTGTTTGTGCTTATTGTTGTTATTACTTGCCACTTAATTTTGTGTTTCAAATATTATTTATATGTTTTGAAGTTCAGAGTGTATTGTGTTCCATATTTATTTTACAGAGGAAGATGTTGATGAGGAAGAGGTTTATGAAGAAGGTAAGAAAATGTTTTTAAACCAGCTCTGTGTTTCATCATGATAAGACTGATAGTAATTGAAATCACCTCAATCTTTACTTGCCCAGTACGAGTTTTCAGTATGAAGAATATACCAAAGCATTCTAACTATACTTCGTGTGTTGTAGGCAACTGCCATTGAGACCTCTTGCTCAGTATGAAAGCACATCAGGCTGACTTATTACAACATATAGTGTTAGTTGAAATGCTGTATGTGTGCATGTGTGTCAGTATCAGTCTCTTATGAGACAACTAATTGTAGGGTGTGGTCTTCTTAGGTTGGCAAGTATTGCCGATTTGTCTAGATTAGGTGCTTGTATCTCCAGCTATAATTTTTTTTATGCTTATAATGCCCTTAAAACCTTTTTTTTCTTTTTGCATACGGGATTTGTATATGACTTTTACTTATGTTATTTTGGTGCCTGGAAGAAACATTATTGAAAACTAGAAAACAAATAGTTGATAGCAATTCATTCTCACTTTTTCTCAGTGGTATGTTTCGTTTTAAAATGAATAATTTTTAAAAGCATAAACTTTGTGTTAAATGCTGAGAAATTAACATACTGTTGAAAAAATTGAGTACATTCAGATATACAATTCATTAAATGAACAAATGTTATATTTATTGACTTTCTACATGTAAAGATGGGGTAGATTTTCATGTAGCTGTGAACCTCTTAATATTTTATGCTTTGCAACAAGAGAAAAATATGTACAAAAAAGAAAAATCTTTAAAAAAAAAAAAGCAGTAATTTACTTTTCCTAATACTAGTCCAATTTTTCTTAGTCTCAAAGTGTAAAATATTGTTGAGATATACAACCATGATTAAAATCAGGGATGCACTTGTTGTAATGATTGGTTACCCATTCAGCTAAAGATAAAAACAATGCTAGGCTTAACTTCTCGTGCTTGTCTTTTATAAGAAGGTATTTTACTATTTTATTAGTTCAGAATCAAGACAATTTCTACATTAACTCATACTTTAGTTGTTCCTTCCAGATTTTTATATTAGGATAAAATTCATGGTTAAAGAAATCACTCAGAATCCTTCATAATTTAACTTATTATAGGAAATCACATATTCAATTGTATGTAATGTTTTTAATTTATAGATCTACTTGCAAATACAGTTGGCCTAAATGACTGTCTAGTGATTACTTCTAACAACACCTTACATTTTTTTTCATATATTGTTAAATATTTTTTTAAAATCTATCAGTAGTCAAATAATGAGGTTTAAAGTACAATATCTGAACAGCAGGTATAGTCTTCCAACAAAAAACTGTAAGAATCTAAAATGAAAAACAGGTTTAGAAAATGTTAAGCATTGTAATAGAATTAACATGAACAGTAAAGAAAAATAAGCAAACACAAGTGTGTTTATATAAACAGAATATATACAGAGACCAGAATAATGATACTACCAAACTTCCCAATGTGGTATCCCACAATCCCAGGGTACTCGTGTCAACAATCAACTATGTAGCTGCTTGAAAACTGCTGCTGGGAAGAGGTAACCATACCAAAAGGTTGAAACAGCATCATGCCATAAGAAGTAGAAAGATCAAAGCTGGAAATGTTTGTTCTTTATATATGAATCCATGTTTGATTTTTTCAATGGCAGAGTGGAGACCAGTATCATAGTTAATGTACAACTTGTACAGTGAAGTATGGTGAAGGATCAATACAAACATGGAGCTGCATGAGGCCATCTCAGCCAGTGGTGTTTCCAATATGGTACATTACCTCTTCTGACATAAATAATTATTCTCGTGCTGCTCTCTATATATGCGAACATTTTTTTTATGAATACAACAAGCCTTCTATCCCCCCTCCATTGGAATTGACTGATTCCAATATCTTTCTCATGCAAATCATCATGCATCAACCCTCCATGAATAGGAGTGTGACATACTCTCATGATGCATGTTACTCCCTCTATTCCATTCTACCTAACTATTACTTCTCATTTGGCAGTACTCATGTTCAGACGGTTGTTGCTTTTCTTGTGCTTTGCATTCATAAATTTAATATTTTCAATTCTGAAGTGGGATTTCTTCATTAATTTTTTCGTTATATTGAAGAGGCCTTTTACTTTAACTTAATTTCCCAGTCATTATTTAATTTTTATCTCACATTTGCATTTGTCTATCAAACATTTTTGTTTGATTCATATTTCTGAAATTGATTCTGAGGGTCATGTTACCATTTTGGGTATCATACCTCCTACAAGCACTCTTTTGCAGGCTGCAGGTGGTGTGACCCCTCATTGGACTTATCAGTGATTATCTGCCAAGAGATTGATTGTTATATGGGTCAACCACCTCCTGAACTTGCCCCACTTCTCCCTGATCAAGCCAAACCTGCTTGGGTCAAGGAAGATTTTGATCACCTTTTTCCACCACTGGATTTTGCTGTGTCTTCCTATGTCCAACCTGCAGAATCAGCTAAGACTAATATGGCATTTTTAGACACCATTTCTCAGGTATGTGATATTTTATCCACTTCCCCGATTTCCTGTGATCCCCATCCTTCTTTGTTGCATGATAGTTCTCCTCTCCGTATTTAGTTTCCCACCCTCCCTGGATATTAGGGTTCATGCTGAGCAATTTGCTTCACAATTGGTTGAGGGTTCCAGCATGCCTTGCCCTCGAAGGGCTACGGATCAGTTTGCTTTGGCTTACCATCAAGCTGACAGTCTGTTTCTCGACTCTCAACAGTTGGGGTCTATTTTACCTGTGTGGGGAGCAATCCCTGATTTTCCTGTGCATTTAACCCATGCCCAGTTTCCTGCCTGCATTTTACCCCAGTGGGTTGCAGTCTGTTGGGAGCTTCATTGTGTGAATTTGTTTCCCTTTGTCGACCTTTTGCCAGAGATCAGAGGGACTTGTACTCCAATTTCTTCCCCCCTCCTTTGTCTCAAGTATCTGTTTTCTTCCCTATGTCTCTGGATCCTATCACTTGCCAGCATCTGCCAGAGGCAGTATAAGACCTTTTGTCTCAACAAGCCATCAAACCTGTTCATCATCTTTCTCCAGGCTGTTTGTTGTCGCAAAGAAAACAGAAAACTGGTGGACTGTAATCGATTTTTTCTGCCTCAATCAATTTCTCAGTCTACCCCATTTTACCATGGAATAGTTTCTCACCCTCAGATATCCTGATATCTTGTCAGTTGCGACCATATCTTTGGTTTGTTCATCACAGGGTGGTTTATCAGTTTTGCACACTACCTTTTAGGCTTGCTTAGGCCTTGTATGTTTTTTGTTGAGTCATCAAAGCATTCACTCATCATTTACATGCTCTCGGGTTGGGTTTTCATCATTACATGGATGACAGGCTACTGTTAGCTCATTTCAAACAGGAGTTTGCCCATCACACACATTGGCTGTTTCTGGAGGTAACTGAAATGGGCTAAAAAATCAAATAGGAGAAGTCATTCTTTCAGCTTACCCAATATCTTGTCCATTTGGGTGTTTTGTTTCAACACCCATCTCAATCAGGTCCAACCTTCTCCTCTTTGACTTTGTTCTATGGAGCTTTCAGTTATCCACACTCTTACTGTTTCCTCTATTACAGGTTGTGAGGTTCTATCACTTTAGGAGATGTGGTCTTCCATGGTAGCACTTATCCCCTTAGTTCATGCTCATATGTGAGCTCTTCACAGCCAGAGAAATTTTGCACAGGATCCTTTGCAGGCTATTATGCTTCCTCCTACCCTAATTGACAATCTACAATGCTGGTTGGACAAACTTGCATGTCAGCGGGTGTTCTGCTTCCTCCTCTTTGTCGAGATTTACACATTTTCACATACACATCTCTTCAGGGATGTGGGCATGGGTCGATTAACAGGAACCTTAGGGTATTGGTTCAACGCTGAGAGGTCTTATCATATCAACATCCTGGAGCTTCTCACTGTACATCGGGCTTTGGTTCATTTTCTCCATCTGGCCAGAAATTGTCTGCTCATGATCCATTCCAAAAATTATACAGTGGTTGCTTATCTCAGTTGTCAGAGTGGCACCATTTCTTGATTTCTCTCTATGTTGGATCTTCTTTTTTGGGCCCACACACAAAATATTCATATCCTTGTGTGTCATGTTCCATGTGCTTTCAATCTTGTTGTAGTTTGGCTGTCCCGATGGAGTGGTCTCTCAGTCCTCTTGTTTTCCAGTAGCTTTGCCTTCAGTGGGGGTACTCCTTACACAGGTGCTTTTGCCACATCCCTCAACCACAAATTACCTCTGTTTTGGTTTCTGGTCCCTCATCCTCTTGCTCTGGCTATCGATGCTTTCAGCCAGGACTGGACCAACAAATACCTGTATGTTTATCCTCCCATTTGACTTCTTCACCGGGTTATTTCGATCATCCATACCACTCTTGTGTCAAGTTCTTCAGATTGATCCTTACTGGCCGTATCAGCTATAGTTTCTGCGGCTTCTCCAGTTCCAACTTACCTCTTTGTTACCTCTTCCTGTGTCTCCATCCCTTCTATATCAACCTTGGTCATTGGTACTTATTAATTATCTGGTCCTTGGCAAGGAGATCAGGCTTTTCTTGGCGAGTAGCTTCATTTCTGGTTCGTTCCAATCGGCATTTTTCCATGAAAGTATATCAATGTAAATGGAACATTTTTTGCAATTGGTCTATGGGTCGAAGATTTTCCACTGATCAGCCCACTGTTTCTGGCATTGTCGATTTTCTTACTTGGCTTTTCAATCATGGGCCTTCTGTCTCCTTGATCTCTGGTTATTGGGTGGCCTTGTCCCACACCTTTCATTTTTCCTGATACCATAGGGTATTTACTTCTCCTATGCTTTGCCTGTGATGCGTGCCTTCAGGATTTGTCTTCCACTATGGCAGGCTACCCTTCTGGACTGGGATGTTAATGTGGTCCTTCACTGCTTCACTTTGCCACTTTTCAAACCACTTTCCACGTGCTTCTTGTGTTACTTTTCTGCTCTTAAGACTTATTTCCTTCTCC